GGGATGTGTTAGAGTTTGAGTTTTAAACAGCTTCTTCCGGCCCTATCCTTCCTTGCTTAGGAGTATATACGTACGTAGTTTATATATTTTAGGAGTTTATATACCTACGTAGGTATAATATCATAGGAGTAGGTTTCTACTACATTTTATTTATTATAATATTGTATTTTGTGTATTATTATACCTAATTTAAAATATATATATAAAAGTTAATTTTTTATATTAAAACGTTACTTCTATTATCGGACCATTTTTATCTGACTAAAACGTCGTAAACTTTGGAATTTTTATCTTGTTAGAATGTCACAACTGTTAAATTTTTATCTGGTTAGAATGTCACAACTGTTAAATTTTTGTTTGACTTACTTAAAAATTAAAATATTATTTCTGTAACATTTTATCTGACTTATCTGACTAATAAAATTTATTTTTATTTTTATTTAAATTTTTGGAGTGTCACAATGGTCTAAAACAAGCTCCTTGAGCTTGGTTTCATCGCTTCAGTGGTTTTCTGTTGACTCGTGGTTTTTCACAGAGTAAGGGTTGTTTACTTTTTTCTCATTAAATCCTGAATGAATTAAGATGTTTGTCTGCATTAAGTTGTCTGTCTAGATTAAGTTACATTCAGATAACAAGTTGTTTACTAAGTGTGCTGAATGAGAAGTCTGAATCATGTCTAATTACCAAATAACTCTCCAGTCTGTAACAAGTGCTGAATGTATATGGTTTGTTTACTTTCTTTGTTCGGAAAGATAAAATATATATACCAGAAAATACTAATACTATGAATTACTTAAATAAAAGAGTCATATTGCATGATAAAAGTATAAAACAAGGTCATGAGTTTTACGAGAACGACATTTTAAATTTAAACAATTCATACTAGTCTATTAGCAATTTCATCCCCCAAATTCGCCATATATTGTAGACTTTGTGTACCCCATTGTGCTCCATGCACTTCCTCTCCAATCTCTTCAACTTACTCTTGTGCTTGATTGTTGATTGCATCGTCATTATCCCATTCATCGAAGAATTTATTATCAATGTTAGATTTTCTAATAAAATTGTGAACCGCAAAACAAGTAGTCACCACATTCCCTTGTATCTCAAAAGGATAAGGAGCCATTTGTTCTAAGGTTGGAAATCTTGATTTCAAGACACCATAATTATTTCAATCACATTCTGAAGTTGTGCATGTGCATGATTGAATTTTTCTTCTTTAGTTAGTGCACGCCGAAGTCGATAATCTGCTAACCAATATCTTGATAAGTATTTTTATTTGGCCACAATAAGGGAAGATTATTTGACTACTTTGAATTTTACAAAAAACATTGACTAGTTAATCGATCAAGCAAATACATTTCAAAAACAGCAAATCTAAGTTACATTGACTACTTTGAATTTTACAAAAAAACAGCAACAACGTTTTTTATCTGTAGCTCAAGGATCAAGCAAAAAGATCAGAAAAAACATTTCAATAAGCATTTTGTTCCAGATTTTGTGTTGAAAACTCACCTCTTCGGCAATAAAAATTGATCAAGCTCAAAAAGAACAATGTCAAATACTAGTTCACAAACAATGAAATGTAAATCGATCAAAAATAAGTAAAATTTCCCAAATTTGACAGCATTAATATAGTTTAGTATAATTTGACAGCATAATTTGACAGCATAAGTATACTTTGGGACTATGCTTAAGAGTATGAAAATGAATCTATAAACATCCCCAGAACAAATAAGCAAAAAACCGTAGCATCAACCACAAACTATTTGATATACAACTTAAGATTTTATAATATGCCATACTTAAATGAGTTAAATTATAGGAAATTGACCAAAATATATAAATAGAGTGAATACCATAAAAATGAAAATTGGTTTGCATAGGCCTTATTAGCCGTTCACGGCTTTCACATGGAAGAAGCCATCAATTTTTGCATTCTTCTCCCACAATGAGTAAAAGCAGCGAATTTACCAAATTAGAGAGAAATTGAAAACATCTTATTAGGAGAAATTGAAAACAAAACAGAGAGAAAGTACTAAAGAGAAAAATTAAAGGAAATACCTATATGGAGAAGGTGAGGGAGGAGAGCCGGAGATGGAGATGAAATGTGCAGGTTGTTGCGACCCGGGATGGACTATGTGCGCAACTCTTCAGTTGGCGGCCGTAGAAGAGTTTATCAAAGATTCGAAGAAGAGGGTTAGGGAAGGGAAAACGGCCATACATATGTTTGAACGGTTGTCTGGACCGTAAGGAGTATTCAATTTGGGCTGACCTATTAAGTTAAAAATGGTCTGAACGAATAAGTCTTGTTTTAAAATAAGTCCTAAGTAAACAAGAGTATATGGCTGACCGAATAAGTCATTGTTTCCATTCAGACCATTAAGTCGAAAGTAAACAGCCCCTAAGTCTGATTCATCCATGTTTCTTTATCGTTCTCAGTCGCAGGTTGTCTATATTCTATTATATGTGGATGTTTTAATCACAGGTTCTTCCTCCTCCTTTATTAAGTCCTTTATTCATACTTTACCCCTTCAGTTTGCCATGAAGGATTGGGGGATGTTCACTATTTCTTGGGCATTCAAGCTCGCCACACATCTAAGGGTTTATTTTTGTCAAATGCTAAATATATCTGATCTGTTACGTCGTTTTCATCTTCATACAGTCAAACCTGTACGTACACCACTTCCTTCACGAACCACACTTTCACTCACAGATGGGGAATTTTTATCTGATATTATCGAGTATCACAGTATGGTAGGTGTCCTTCAGTACTTGATTATAACTAGACTTGATATTACATATGTTGTTCATCTGGTGTATCAGTTTATGCATGCTCCACGTACTGCTCATTTACTAGATGTCAAGAGAATTCACAAATACTTACAGGGCACATCCTCTCACGGGTTGTGGCTGCGGTCTGACAGGAATATTTGTGTCATTATGGCTTATTCTGATGCAGATTGGGCAGGATGCCCGAACAACTCACGTTCCACCACAGACTATGCGGTTTTTCTGAGCTCAAATTTGATATCATGGTGATCCAAGAAACAGTCCCCATGTCCAAATCCTCTACTGAAGCAGAGTACAAGGCTATTGCTTATACTGTTCAGGACATCTTATTCATACGCTCGATGTTGGCCGACATGGGTATTCTTATTTCAGCTCATGTTCAGGGTTATTGCTTATAATGTTTCTGCATCCTCTTTTGGCGTAAATTGATTATCACTTTGTTCGCGAACGCGTGGCTCATGGGGATCTTGTCGTCAAATATATTCCCACACAGCTGCAGTTAGCTTATATATTTACAAGTAATTTATCTAGTTAGCGTTTTGAATTTTTAAGTTTCATCTGCACGTTATTTCCCCTAATAGATTGAGGGGGCGTAATAATGTACTATTTAGGGATTACTGTGTAATTTCCATAACTCTGTTTTATTATAATATGATGCTAAAACATCCAATAAGGTAAGCCATTGTTTCCCAAAATTATTATTTTGTATAAATCATTATACATATAATTACGGTTACCAAAACGCACAACTGATACTCCATTATTTCCATGTTGAATCTGAGTTTTCCCTATTTTTCATCATAAATGAGATAATTTTTTCTCGATTCCCTTTAAACTTTTCCACTGAAGGCCTCAGTTTGTGTGCCGATAAATTTCAGAAGCTTAAAAAACTAGCCTTCATCGAGATGGTAAAATAACTACATTCATGAATGTTTGGACATGACTTTTTCATGGCACCTAAGTTATTGTTGATGACTAAAATCGGCATATATTTAGAAAGTGCCATAAACGTTTACTTTAACGGTAAAGTCCAATTAGAAATTTTTAAAATTTGAGAGTTGTATAGATATCATTTACAAAAAAAGAATGACACCATATCCCCAGAATGGTAGACGAGACTGTGCAAACTGTGCTTTTGTACAGGACCTCAAAATATTTTAGGCTTATTTTATATATATATATATATATATATATATATATATATATATATATATATATATATATATATATATATATATATATATATATATAAAGCAATAATTATTTAGTACTTCATATATAAATATATTAAGAACTTAAGAAACCATTTGAACTTTAGAAGCCATTAAATGAAAATGGCCCAACGGCCCAACTAGAACAAATAAGCAAAACGGAAGATTACATTCCATATTAAATGAAAAATAAATTAAATAACTTTGCCAATTTTCCAACTTTCCCATATTGCACTCAAGCTAGAACGGTAGATCCCCTTCTCCACTCCTCACATTCACAAATTAGAGTTTTATAAATTTTAAGTTATATTTTCAAAATAGATTACTTAATTTGCCTGAGCCATTCAACTATAAACTATCCAAGTCATCAAACATTCAAACGTAACCAAAGGTAGTAAAATCAGTTACCTTTTTTTATCTGATTTCTTAATTTATAATTTTGATACGTTTTTTATTATTTTATATTTCTTTTTTTAACGGTATTTTATATTTCTTTTAGTGACTTTATTTACTTTTGTTGTGATTGTGATCCCTTTTTAGGGATATATTTTAGGGTTGATTTGTGGTATGTTTTTTGTGCATTTATTAAATATAAAGCCTAATTTATGTGATTTGTACCGGAACTCCTACCTTATTAAGTAGGCCCTGCCCATCCCTATGGGTCCCCGTACACTGACCGGACGGTACGTTGGGAGGATGTAAATTGGACTATAATCACAATCTGACAGATAGAGAATGGGGATCTGTCTCCGGTACTTGCAGAGGCCCTATGCATTTTTTAGCATAGTAACCTCTCATCGAAGTTGACGGGATTCGAATCCGGAACCTAACTCTTGTGGCACTCCCCGTCTACCGTTTGGAACTATGACTTGGAGCCTTGGATACTGACATACTGTTACACCGGAACTCGAAACCAGCCCTTTCTTATCTCATTGGAAAGACTGAGTTAAGTCGAACGGTTAATTAAACTTAAATAACAATGAATAATTAAATAATTCAAAAGCTAGAGGAATACCTTTATTTAGTGCTCATCACTTTTTAGTTTTTATGTCATGGGGCTTTAAAATGAAGGAACGAACCTGACTTGGAGCAATGATGTTCTACAACAGTTAATCCCAGCAATATTTTTAGGAATAGAATTGTCTTCAGAGAAACTCCATTCTAGGATTACATGAAAACAAATCAAATATAATAAAATCAAGCTAAATCCTAATACATTACTTCCATTCATCTTACTCTTCATCCTCCACCACTCTATTCTCTACCAATATATCTGTCTGATTGTGGGTAACAATATCTCCTCCCACCCTCAAATCATCACATGCATTTTTTTTCTTGTGCAAAAGCTTAATGAGACCATCCAATGCAACATTTGTCTGATCACTCTTCATCAGCTCTTCTGCAATCTCGGCAGGCGTCACATTCACCTCCGTTAGGAGTTTGTCGATGTCCGTGAACTTTGGGTGATCTTTGAGGCCATGGTAGTTCGATGCAAGAACACGAAATCCACCCGGGGTGCAATATGACATGAGGATGTGCTTGTCCATTCTTCCTGGTCTAATAAGTGTTGGGTCTAACTTGTCCTTGTAGTTAGTTGTCAACACAATGATCCTTTCATCCCCACAGCATGACCATAATCCATCAATGAAGTTCAATATACCGGATAGTGTTACCTATAGACTCATAGACCACAAGCTAAAGATCTTAAATTGGTTCTTCATTTTACAATTTATGATAATTGCTTTTCAGCCATATCTAACTTTTGAACAAATTACATTCAAGGAAAATTATTGTTACTTTCTTAATGACATTCTAAAGTTTGAACTATTACTTCCGTAGTGTAAAATCTTGTAAACTGCAGAGTACTAGTGAAGCTAAAATTTAGGCAAACTAATCACTCACATTCCATCGTATAAAATCTTGTAAACTACAGAATGTTAGTGAAGATAAGTTTAGGCAAACTAATCACTCACATAAGTAAAAAAAACATAACAAAACAAAATGTTTTGACTAAATTGGAATACCATGTTCTCCCTAATTTGACATGAGTAGATATTGTGACATTATCATTACGAATTGTAAGTTTCCCTCAACTTAAGGATGAAATTACTTACTCCTTATAAAACACAATGTTAACACCTGAGGTTCCATCCTAAAAGGTCAACCTGATAGGAGGAATAGATCATGTCTTAATATAGCATTTTGTTGATTCAAACTTTTCCGGTGTGGGATTCTAACACCCATCCTCACGACCAGACACTTCGTCTGGATCGTGCCGTCAGTTATTTTTTCGTTGATTCGTCATTGTCATTTTTTAATCGTGTCGTCATTTTTCATACCATGATTATGGATCGGTTTGGCTCTGATACTACGTTAAGACCTGAGGTTCCATCCTAAAAGGTCAACCTGATAGGAGTAGCAGCTCATGTCTTAATATAGCACTTTGTTGATTCAGACTGTGTCTGGTCCTGAGGATGGGTGTTAGAATCTCACACCGGAAAAGTTTGAATCAACAAAGTGCTATATTAAGACATGAGCTACTTCTCCTATCAGGTTGACCTTTTAGGATGGAATCTCAGGTCTTAACACACACCACAACACTAATTTTTGAAAATCACCATATTTACTCCTATTTAGTGTTTAGGACGCTTACATTTTATATACAATAAATCCAAATGTATTTTTATTCCTATACTTTTAGCCTAAATTAGTTCACTACAATAGGTTTGTGCACACTATTTAAGGATAAAATTGTAGGGTAGTGAATACGACGTGTAAAAAGTAGGAGAGAAAGTGAACAAGTATGAAAGATGAAATAAAAAGTAGAAAAATAATAATATGTGAGTATTTTTAAAGGAAGAACTCACAAAAAGGAAAAATATACTGTCTCCGTCCTACTAACATTGAGATATGAGGATTGAGGGGGTGACACAGTGGTTAAGAAATTTGGGTTTATGTGGTTGATATTGAATTGATAAAGTTAAAAAAAAAATAAGAATGATTTAGAAGCACACAAATTTTACCAAATTTGGTACGAGACAACTTTAGTGGGTCGGAGCGAAAAGAAAAAATGAATCAATCTTAGCGGGACGAATGGAGTAAACAAACTTTTAAATACATTTTAAAAAGAAAAGTGTTACAAATTTTAAAATACGAAGGGAGTTTGTGTTATGCAATTATTGGATGTTGAAAAGTTAAATTAAATTTCTTTTCACCCAATTATTGAGTATTTTTTGCAAATTACTTTGTATAAATGATGCAGTCTGAAAATATCATGACAATTTCCATTTTCAACCATAACTAAATAATCTTTGCACTTGTAAATCTTCACATCATATTTTCAATATTTTTTTATAGTAAGACACTACTACAGCTCATTTGCAGCGGCCTGGAAGGCTAGAATAGAACACTAAAAACATATTTAAGGGAAGAGAGATCTCTATCCGCACGGGTAGCTCAGTTGGTCGAGTGCTGGAAGATTTGGAACAATGGATCAAGGTTCGAAACTCCGCACCGACCGGGTGAAGGTCACAGAACCTGAAATAAGGCTGGACTCACCATCCTGTCGGATCGAGGTGGAGGCTCCTGGGGTGGGAGATTCCACCTTTTGGAACAAAGGGAAGGGAGATCTCTTAACAGCTTATAACCGGTTTAAAGTCAAAAAGAAAAAGCTTATCACCTGATTATAATTCTGCTTGCTGTAATCTCCATTATTTCGGTTCTGCAAATCAATGCTGCAATCAATATCCTCAACCACAAGGATGGATCTGTTTTTAGTAGTGGGAAGCAGCTGTTGGAGATCTGAGTTGTTCTGTAACCTAGAGAGATCCAGTTCATAGATGTTGAATTTCAGATAATTGGCCATGGCTGCTATCAGGCTCGACTTCCCTGTTCCCGGAGGTCCGTACAATAAGTACCCTCTCTTCCACGCCTTCCCAACTCTCCTGTAGTAATCTTTCCGGCTAACAAATCTATCCAAATCTTCGATAATTTCCTTCTTCAGTTCAGGATCCATCGCTAGGGTCTCAAAAGTGGACGGATGCTCCATATTGATCTCATCATTGTAAATGCCTATCGCCTTCAGCTTTACGCATTTGTTTTCTTCTTCTATGGCCTTCGATCTTTCCAGAACGAACGGTATATATTTGCTGATAACAATTTCACTGAATTTCTTGTTGAAGGAGAGTTCAAATGATCTTCGTTCCGTACTACTCTCTGAGGAAGAACTGGAAGTGACTCTCAATTCCCAGACTAATTCCACGCCACCAAACGAGTCGCTAATCTTCTCATCTCTGCTAATGATGAACGAGATGCTTTTATCAGTGGGCGCCTTGAAGATTTTGAGCCATCCTGCCGCGGGCTTCAGCTTCGTTCTGAGATAAATTTCAGAGGCTTCGAAGATTTCGTTTGGGGTATAGCCGTTCTGTTCATCAATGACGAGAGTTGATTGGGAGGAGAAGTTGCAGATTAGGACTCCGAATTTTGAAGATAGCTTTTCCAAGAGGTCTACAGGCAAGAGCTGGTTGGCCAATGCTTTTAACTCAGTCAGAATTGTCCTGATCAGGTAAGCTGTAGCAGTGAAAGCAGTGTATGCTGATAAAATTGCAGTTGTTGAGGGAACATCAGATAGAGAAAACATTTTTCAAGTTTTTCTTCTCAGATCTTTTTAACAACGTTTTTCTTAAAGATTGTGATGACTGATGAGTAGTTTAGAAATAAGTTATTATCAACTCAATGCATATATATTCCACATCCATACAACAAAAACATACTACCACGTACATAAAGAATTCAATTCCTTACACTATCATGAAGCTTCCTGCATGAAGCTTCTCCATATCCAAGAATATGAAGCTTTCTTCATATCCAAGAATAACAAGGCAAGTTTCCCCACCTTCCTACTATCTAGTTTTGATCCTATAGATAGAGAAGCTTTCCTATAGATAGAGAAGCTTGTAAAGCTTTTGTATCATCCAAGTATGTCAGATCATAGATCATCATAACAAATCAAGAAAGTTGTGAATATCCTTGAGAGATATGTGAAATATTTTTGAGAATTTTTAGTTACAACTTGTATACCGAGTATATCTTTTTTCTATTTTAAATTTAGTAGAAGTGTTTTTCTCTCAGCTCAATCCTTTTTATTCCCAATAGTACTACTACTCCCTCTGCCCTTTTGTTCATTTTATGTGCCTCTTGAATTTGTTTTATACTACCTTTGTCAGTCTGTCTCGCTTGTTGTATGTATCATGATTATAAATTGCAGTTCCCAACTGCAATTGTGGCCGCAATATTGTTGTTGCGGGATGCACCGCAACCGTCAGTCCGCCATGGTCTGCAATTGTGCTGAGAAATGATACCAATCCATAGTCCGCAACGTAACCGCAACGCAGGCGCATTGGACCGCAACACAGTTCCAATATAATTTTTAGTATTTCATTTATTTTAAAATATGTTATACTTCATTTTTTTAGCTAATTTATTTACTTTAGTCTCAAACATAATACTCAGTATGTATTTTTAACCTAATTAGTTGATGCACACTAATTAGTAGTGCATAATTACATGTTTTTATGTTTGATTTATGTTAATTGTTTGACGTTTTATTTAGTTTGTAAACATTTATGTGATTTCAGTTGTAATTGTATTTTAGTCTTTATTTGTAAGTTGTAAAGTTTAGTTATGATTTGTGGTGTTGGAAAGGAAGACTTTGAAGTGAAGAAACAGAAGATTTGGCTGCCCAGGAGCAAATACCCGACCGGGTATAACACTTGACCCGGTCGGGTAAGAAGTGAAAAACGAAAATGCAAAGAAAGTGCATGGCCCGGTCGGGCCCACTACCTCACCCGGTCGGGTGAGAAGTGACTGGGGACAACCCGATGTGCAAAGATCACCCGAACGTGAAGAATATCCAATTTTTGCACTCACCCGGTCGGGTCCCCTACCCCACCCGGTCGGGTCCGACTTGACCCGAACACTTTAACATGCCGAAGATCGCTAGAACGTGGGGAAATATCTGATTTTGACCGGACCCGGTCGGGTGAGTACTTGATCCGGTCGGGTACCCGGTCAAAGGTGTTGAAAAACACCTATAAATAGCACTCTTTTTCTCCTCTAAAAAGGATCCTTTCTTCCATACTCTTTAGCTCAGTTTAGAATATCATTTCTTTATATTTTTCTAGCTATGTTTAGTCTCCAAATGAGGAGCTAAACTTCCATTCTTGGTTTTGCTCTTGAAGCTTGTTGATTATTAAAGTTGTGAGTTATTTTCTTAACTTCTTCTCTTGATTATTAATTCTTCCCTTAATCTCATTCTATATTAATGTTGGGGGGTTGCTAAGTGACGATTAGTTAACGTTCCGACATTAATTACTACTAGAAACGATCAACGAACCGATGGTTAATCGTTGGTGGTTTCAGAATTAAGTAACTTCGGTTTATTAATGCACGGTCGTGGTTGATAAACTTCAGAGGGATCAATTTTGTTGGTTAAATCGAAACCGTTGTGTTAAGGTTATCAATCTCAATTGATTTCATCAAGGAGTTAAAAAGATTGAATGCTACTATTATATCGGTATACGGCGTTGTTCTATATTTGATTAATAGTAAGGGTTATTAATGAACGGTCGTTGTTAATAACTACTCTCGATGAATTGGAGATACTTCTCGGTTGAGTATTCGAGAGGGGATAAGTTATAGATATAACAAGAATCGACTAAAATACATCAACAAGTGGAAAGTAGCAAAGCCAAGTCCCTTTTATTCTTGAATTAAACACATATAGGTTGTTCATCTTAGTTCTTAATTACATTAAATCACTCAATCCAAATCACCCCCTTTTATTTACTAAGTATCATAAAAAGAGCAATATTCCTTTCCCTGTGGAATACGAACTCTACTACGCTATACTACGTATAAGTGTTTAGTATTGAAATTATTTTGACGCACCGTGACAAAGTGCTCGTCATTAGTCGAGAATTAATTTAAAAGAGAAGTTATATGTCAAAATATTTTTGCCCTTTTATATATACTTTATTGTAATAAGTATATATTGTGCGAATTAAAAAATATTTCACGCCGCATCAATTGCAATATGCATCCCAACGACCACAATAGCCATTACGTGGATTTATGTGGTTGCTATTGAATTGATAAAGTAAGAATACAATAAGAATGATTTAGAAACACATAAACTTTACCAAATTTGGTAGGACAATCTTAGTGAGATTGATCGAAAAGAAAAGATTGGACAATCTTAGAGGGACTAATGGAGTACGTTTTGGTTTAATTTAGGTAAATCTTCCTTCTAGAAATAGGCGTTATAATGCATGATTTATTTAGTTATTTTAATGACATAGAAAAACATAATGATAAACGTTGGTAGTGTTTATAAGTAAAAGTGATGTTAAGGTAGAACTTAGAAGGCAACTAGAGCATTTGCAAAAAAGTAACTTTTGCTGATGTTTGGGTGAATTATTACAAAAGAAACAACTAAAGCAGAATCCCCTACTTACAAACTCCATTTTTAACTTTTTAAAGCAAACAACGTTACAGCACCAAAATGCTTCCAAAAAGCAATGGAAATGATTCAGAGAGTTAAGGTGACCAAAACACACAACTTAGACTCCATTATTTCCACATTGAATCCGACTTTTCCCTATTTTTCTCATCTCTACTAATCATAACTCATAAGTCATATTGATTTGCAAATTTGACTTTTCTTGATCAAACAGTTTCATTTTATTCGCTTAATTAGGATTTCAATTTTTAATTATATTCTAATTTGGAGTTTGCAACTTTGAAGAGATTTCAATGTAGTTTCTGAATATGTAAATTTTAATTATTAGAAATTTAATGAATTATCGATAGAGAGGATTGACTTTTATCATTGGTTGACCAAAAAATGTTGATTTTGCAAAATAATTTGGGACGGAGGGAGTACAATTTTGGGTTACTTTTAGCATAGCTCTAACGATGAATAATTAATAAAAAACAAAAGACATGGGAATACCTTTATTTAGTGCTTATTACGTAGTACTCTATACTTTTTAATTTTACAATTTTGTTATGGTATCCCAAACTCTACCGATTTTTGTACCCCATATTAAAACCCACCCCCACTTTCTCTTCTCCCCCCTTCCTCTCTCCTACACACCACCTCTCTTCCTCCCTCCCTCTCCTCTTTTCACGCACCCCTCCCTTCCCCTTTCATCTCCATCTCAAAATCTTTCCCCTTCTTTAAGACTTCCCATTTTTACCATCTTCCTTCCAACCTTGGATCTTCTCCTGCTTATCTCCTCTTCCACCGGTGACGTTGCCGACGGCGGGCCTACGCCGGTTGCCAACGACGGGCCTACGTTGGTTGCCATTTCGGATGCAACCTCAAGGGAAGACAATGACGAAGGCAAACCAAGAAGCTTTAATAACTTGAGCAACGGATCTTCTTTTCTTGATTTTGTTTTCTTCATTTTTGATGTATTTTCGAAATATAAAGGGCTGTCTGTCAGACAGACAACTTGTAAGTGCAGTGTCTGTAAGAGTCATGAAATTGCCTGTCATTTGAAAAATAAATGTTTGTAATTGATATTTAATTGTTTGTCATTTGTTTGTTAGTTGTCTGTATTTGTTTTGAGTTGTGAAGTTGTTTGTAACTCATACTTAGTTGTTTGTCATTTCATTGGGAGTTGTATGTAATTTGTGGTGAAAATAATGTATATTTGGTTATCGCTATTGTCTGTCTAGTTATACGTATTGTCTGTCTTGTTTATGAAACATATTCCAAAATGGTAATTCACAATAAAGTAATGTCTGTATGTGTATACTTATTGTCTGGATGTGTATATTTAATGTCTGCATCGTTCTACTAATTACATCTCAAAAAATAAACATCACAAAATACAGACAAATCACAATCACATACAGACAACTCAAAACAAATACAAACAATTCAAAACAAATACAGACAACGCAAAACAAATAACAAACAATTAACCATCGATTACAAACAGACGGACAACTTCACGAGTCTTACTAACACATACAGACACTGCACTTACAAGTTGTATGTCTGACAGACAACCCTTTATATTTCGAAAATACATCAAAAATGAAGAAAACAAAATCAAGAAAAGAAGATTTGCTGCTCAAGTTATTCAAAGATTCTTGGTTTGCCTTCATCGTTTTCTTCCCTTGAGGTTGCATCCGAAATGGCAACCAACGTAGGCCCGCCGTCGGCAACGTCACCGGTGAAAGAGGAGATAAACAGGAGAAGATCCAAGGTTGGAAGGGGAAAGGTGGCAAAAATGGAATGTCTTAAAGAAAGGGAAAGATTTTGAGATCGAGAAGAAAGGGGAAGGGAGGGGATGCGTGAAAAGATGAGAGGGAGGGAGGAAGAGAGGTGGGGTGCAGGAGAGAGGAAGGGGGGAAGAAAAGTGGGGGTGAGTTTTTATATGGGGTGCAAATGGGGTAGGGTTTGGGCCTTGGGGTACCTATAGCAAAATTGTTAATTTTATGGGCTTTAAAATGAAGGAACCAGGTTGAGTTGGAGCAATTATGTTCTGCAGCAGTTAATCCAAGCAATATTTTTAGGAATAGAATTGTCCCGAGAGAATTTCCATTGTAGAATTCTTACATGAGAACAAATCAAACATAATAAAATTAATTTAAATCCTAATCACGATTCCGAATTATTGAATGTGCTACGGACCCTATTTGACTTCCTTCCCTTCTTCTTACCCTTCATCCACCTGTACCACCTCATCACTCTATTTTCTACTAATATATCGGTCTCCTTACTGGTAACAATATCTTCTCCCACCTTCAAATCATCATATGCACTTTTTGCACATTTTTTCTTTTGCAAAAGCTTAATGAGTCCTTCAAGGGCAACATCTGCCTGGTCACTCTTCATCAGCTCTTCTGCAATCTCGGCAGGGGTCACATTCACCTCCATTAGGAGTTTGTCGATGTCCGTGAACTTGGGGTGATCTTTGAGGCCATGGTAGTTCGATGCAAGAACACGAAATCCACCCGAGGTGCAATATGACATGAGGATGTGCATGTCCATTCTTCCTGGTCTAAGTAGTGCTGGGTCTAACCTGTCCTTGTAGTTAGTTGTCAACACAATGATCCTTTCATCCCCACAACATGACCATAATCCATCAATGAAGTTCAATATACCAGATAGTGTTACCTATAAATTACAAACAACAATAATACAAAAGTTACTCATGAAAATTCTCAGCATTCCGCTGATTGGGTTACTTTATTTGGTCTAAAATCAACCGAAGTTGGCGCTGTGAAATTGGAAGGACAAGTGAAAACTTTGTAGGGACCTGGAATAGAACACCAAAAAGATAAGGGGAGGGAGTATGTCTTAAAAGCTTATAACCTGTTGATGACTTTGATCATTATTCTTATTGATGCAATCTCCAAGAGTTCTGTTCTGCAAATCAATGCTGCAATCAATATCCTCAACCACAAGGATGGATCTGTTTTTAGCAGAGGGAAGCAGATTTTGGAGATCTGAGTTGCTCTGCAGGCCAGAGAGATCCAGTTCATAGATGTTGAATTTCAAATAATTGGCCATGGCTGCTATAAGGCTGGATTTACCCGTTCCCGGAGGTCCATACAATAAGTACCCTCTCTTCCATGCCTTCCCAACTCTCCTGTAATAATCTCTCCGGCTAACAAATCTATCCAAATCTTCTATGATTTCCTTCTTCAGTTCAGGATCCATCGCTAGGGTTTCAAAAGTGGACGGATGGTCCAGATTAACCTCATCGTTGTAGTTGCCTAGCGCCGACAGCTTTACGCATTTGTTTTCTTCTTGTATGGCCTTCGATCTTTCCAGAACGAACGGTATATATTTGCTGATAACAATTTCACTGAATTTCTTGTTGAAGGAGAGTTCAAATGATCTTCGTTCCGTACTACTCTCTGAGGAAGAACTGGAAGTGACTCTCAATTCCCAGACTAATTCCACGCCGCCAAACGAGTCACTAATTTTCTCATCTCTGCTGATGATGAGCGAGATGCTTTTTTCACTGGGCGCCTTGGAGATTTTGAGCCCACCTGCCGAAGTCTTCAGCTTCGTTCTGAGATAGATTTCAGAGGCTTCGAAGATTTCGTTTTGGGTAAAGCCGTTCTGTTCATCAATGACGATAGTTGTTTGGGAGGAGAAGTTGCAGAGTAGGCCTCCCAGTTTTGAAGAGAGCTTTTCCAGGAGGTCTCCAGGCAAGAGCTGGTTGGCCAATGCTTTGAACTCACTCAGAATTGTCCTGATCAGGTAAACTGAAGTAGTAAAAGCAGTGTATGTTGATAAAATTGCACTTGTTGAGGGAACGTCAGATAGAGAAAACATTTTCAAGCTTTTCTTCTCAGATCTTTTTTTATGAGGTGATTCATAAAGATTCTGATGAGTGGCTTAGAAATAAGTTCTTGTCAACTCAATGCATATTTTCCATACCCATAATACGTCCAAAAATCGGACCGTCTTTTAGGAGGTGTAATAAGGGCTTGGCATCGGGACCCACTCATGTAGGAGCCTCCAAAAATTTAGAATGTAATACTACGTATTAGTTATAAGTTTATTTTTGTAGATATTATGTATTATTCAAGATTTCAAAAGGTATGTAATATTTAGATTCTTTAATTTGTGCATTTTAAACATCATAAAACTTATGTTTCATTGAAATGTCTAGTCTACATGTATTTCATTGTTCAAATTCGTAATTTTGTTGTTGTAGGGACCCTCAATTTTTCATTTGAAATAGGGGTCTCCAAATACATTATACTACCCTAGTCCAAAACTTGGTACAGAGTACGGACTACTCTCTCTGCGCTTTTCTTCATCTTATATTCTTATGTGCTTCCTAAATTTGTTTTCTACTGTGATTGTACGTGGTATTTATCTTGTTTTTTGAAAATTCAAAGTATAATTAATTGTGCACACGATTAGACTTGGGGCGTGTACACCCAGCAAAGTTCATGTTGCAATAAAATTTGGTGTCGTCAAGAAGTGAGGCTGAAAAAAGTGAACCCACATGGAAGTGGGGCAGATGAAAGGTGTTTAGTCAAAGGAAAGGACGTACTGAGCAGTCAAAATTGACCCATTAATTGATTCTTGATATAGTGCATGGTGTCAGCAGTCAATTGCGAACTGCAAATGAAACCTCGTTCATCCATCTCTTCCACCTTACTATTCGTTCAACTTAGGTAGGTGATTACTTTTTTTTACTCCCTCCGTTCCTTGAAACTTTGTCATCTTTTTTTTGGGACGTCCTAAAAAACTTTGTCACTTTCCCTTTTATTAAATTATTTTGTGGTTTCTATTATTTCTCTCTCCTCTGCACAAATCTCAACCACACAGTTTTTACTTTATTATTCTCCGTGTCGGTCAACTTTGGCAAAGTTTTAAGGGACGGAGGTAGTATAATCCAAGTTTCGGGGCTTACGCTATCATAATCCAAAACTTCTAGACAATTAATCCGGATCTGATCACAGTCAACTTCGTCAGTACTGGCTCCAAAGGACGAATCCAGTAGGACTTACATCACCTTTCAGGTTGCTCCTCCCACCACACGAACTCGCTACCTTCATTACTATTCTCTCCTTCTCAGTCGCTGAGCAACTCCTTGAAGGTAGGAAGAATCATTGGGAGCAAGACCTCCCTCCTCTCCCCTAAATGTGTCTATCGGGATTCGGACTCGAGACCTCCGCTAGGACACGGTCAGTGATGGAACCAGACAATAATTTGAATGGGTGCTCTTGTATTTTTTTTTGAAAAACAATTTTTTATTAGAATAAAATATAAACGAGTGAAAAATAATTATTAGATACATACAGAGTGAGGTTCTAATAAAAAGAATTATTCCCGTGAAAAATGAGAACGGGCACACTTTTTACTCATTTTGGTACACTAGTAGATATTTGTTTTACACTTTTTTCGCAATGAGATAAAATTTTGATTTATTTATCAAATTGTCACCGAGTTTTTGATAAAATATAGTGCATTGTTGGCTAATTTTGAGTCATCGGATCTCAAGTTAAATGCACAAGATTTATTTTCGATCAATTATTCATGATAAGAATTCTTTTTATTTGATCCAAAACTTGTACTCCATATATATGTATATGTAGTGTGTTTGAAATAAAAATGCTTAAAAATGCACAAGATATATTAACTTAAAGTAGTTTTAGATGATCAAAAAAAACTTAAAGTTGTTTTAGAATTATTCTTGACATTAAATTAAATGACAACGTTCGTATATGTCATTATTAGAAGAAGAAATGATAAAAAATAATTTGAATTGGAGAAATGAGAATCTAAAATAAAAGATATAGAAATTCAAAAAGTGTGATTTAAACAACATTACATCCTAGAGTAATTTAATTGAACACAAATAATTATCATATGGGCTAAACAAGCAATAATGGAGTCATATCAGTATACCACTCATACTAGACAAATGAGAAAGCAAAAAAATATTGATGCTCCTGAGAATTGAACCCGTGCCATTTTTTAAGGCAAAGCTCTCCCAACCTCCGCCCTACCATTTGAACTGTCACAACTTATGGGGTGTTTGGATTTGATTCTTAAAACTGCTTCTGCTCCTTCAGGGAGCAGAAGCAGAAATTGGAGTGTTTGGTTAAAAGTGCAGAAGTGATTCTGGTGCTCTAATTTACTCCTAGAATCGGTTTTTTAGAAGCTGAGGGTGACCAGCTTCTGAAAACTGATTCTGATTCTCCTTCTGATTTAAAAAAGAAGCAGAATCAGAATCAGTTCCAAACACCCCCTTATTCATACAAATAGCGATTGTGCTTTAATATATAAATACTTTCTGAACCGGGCTGAGATATATACATATATATGTATATACATAACCGTCATCGGAGAAGGGGGAGCGCCGGCACCGGCTCGCCCCCTAGTTCCGCAACTAGACATGATAACCTTTCACCCAGTGAGCTCCGGTTGGTTTAGGTGAGTACTTTCTTTACTTCATTTCTTGAATAGGTCAAACCAACCGCGGTGAATAAAAATGAATCATCCCACCGTAAATTCTATTTTTGGATTCTAAATTTAGCAACTTTTTTGTCAGCCGTGATCCCAATAAGTACGCAAATTATATCCTGGGATTGGCGCACCATGAGGATGGTGTACCCGATCCCAAAATGACGGAGCATGGCCTGGTTTCTTTTTTTTCGCTTTTGTTGTTAAAAAATGATAATAACTTTTTTATTTTTGATCTGATTTTTATAAAATTTATATCAACATTTTTTATTTTTCACGATCTTTCAAATGAGACCAATATTGCTTATGTAATTTTAACAAATTATGGAACTATTATATAAATGATTATTGGATTATAAAGAAAACCGAACTAAATTTAATATAAAAAATTAATTGTGTAAATCACAATTTATCTTAAAATTGTGTATATAAAAAATCATTGAGTTACATGTGAGTTACATATTTTTACACGTAAGTTACATATTTCTACACGCGAGTTACATTTGTATTAACATCAAGTTACATTTTGATTAACATGATTTACATTTTCGATTTCCCTGAATTAACTTTTTAATTAACGCACCTTACAATTTCGAAATTTCTCAAGTTACATTTTGGATACACTCGAGTTACATATCAATTTGATAAAAGTTACATCTTGTAACACGCGATTTACATTTCGTATAAAAGGTGAGAGAACCACTAGAGGGTGTAATATGAGTTACATTCCAGGCTGCGAGTTACATTTGTAGTTAACTGATATTACATTTTATAACAACACGAGTTACATTTCAATACATAGGATTTACATCACATAAAATATTGAGACAAAAATTAAATTACATATTTTTACACGCAAATGTTAATATGTTAAAATTACATAGGCAATATTGGTCTCATTTGAAAGATCATGAAAAATAAAAAAAATTGATATAAATTTTATAAAAATTGGATCAAAAATAAAAAAATTATTAACAATTTTAAGAAAAGAAGAAATAAAAAATAACAAAGGGTGCATGGTGCTCATCACCGGTTCCACGACAGAAGCACTGACTGGAATAAGTATATGTCTATATGATGATCTTATCATTCGCTATGATGATCTTATCATTCACCACATTAGATTAGACGGTATATATATTAGCTACTACTACTCCGTATTAGTTACTACGTATTATAATTAAAATAAAATAAGAAGGGAAAAGTACGGAAAAGATACTTGTGGCTGGACCCGTTTTCAGATATGGTCATATGTTTCATTCTTTATCAAAGTGGTTCATATGTTTGAATTCCGTTATCTCAAGAGGGTCACGCCGTTAAAAACGTCTGAAAAAGACTGTTAAAAGTAACTCTGATTTTCAAAAGTGCCCGAAAAATTAAAAGAAAAATACGGAAAGGTGCGCCTCATCAAGATGACCTTCAAACCATCTTCGCCTTTAGATTTTCCAGATCTGTTTGAATTATTTTTTAAAAATGATTTCGCTAATATCACTTTTCTGATGGACTTTCCGATGACAAGGGTGGCTGAAAACAAAAAAGAAAGATCGCCTAGCGGTCGTCTTATTGAGGCGCACCTTTTGGTATTTTTCTTTTAATTTTTCGGGCACTTTTGAAAATCGGAGTCACTTTTAACGGCCTTTCAGACGTTTTTAACGGCGTGACCCTCTTGTGATAACGGAATTCAAACACATGAACCAATTTGATAAAGAATGAAACACATGACCTTATCTGAAAATGAGTTAAATCACAAGTACCTTTTTCGTACTTTTCCCAAATAAGAATTCGTCGGTCTAGAGTACCAAACCAAACCAAAGTTAACCGTTCACTTTCTCATACCCCACCTGGCCACCTGGCCATCTCTATCTCATTGATGCATAATGTAAATATGTTAACATGACTAGTAAGTATTTAATAATTCAAACCATTTGAAGCCGGTAGTTATACGGTGGAATCGTTACATGGTGAGCATCATGCATCCTTTGTTATTTTTTATTTCTTCTTTTCTTAAAATTGTTAATAATTTTTTTATTTTTGATCCGATTTTTATAAAATTTATATCAATTTTTTTTATTTTTCATGATCTTTCAAATGAGACCAATATTGCCTATGTAATTTTAATTTTTTACATTCATACATTTTTTTGTAATATATTTTTATATGCATACACTTTTTCTATAATATATTTTTTTATCACTTTTATATGTTTTTAGAGGTTTTTAAGATATTGAGTTTGTTTATTTTGCTTCTAGCTTGGAGTTACATTTGATAATATACGAAGTTACATCATCTTATACTCCAGTTATAAGTTATTATGTGTGGGTTACATCTTGCTATACACGAGTTACATACTTTTATGCGCGAGTTACATGTAATTATGTGTGAGTTACATCTTGTTATACACGAGTTACATACTTTTATGCGCGAGTTACATGTAATTATGTGTGAGTTATATCTAATTATTTGTGATTTTTTACTTATCTTTATCTTGAACTAATTCAATTATAACTGAATTAATTTTTTTCTTTGCCAATTTAATACAAAATTTTATTAATCCACACAAAATAAGTATATTGTATTTCATATTCATACACTATTTTTCAAATGATAAAAATGAAAGATGTAGCAGGGGTTTATTTCATGGTGTAACTCACATACATTAAGATGTAACTCGCGTATATTAAGATGTAACTCACGTACAATAAAATGTAACTCGCG